GTTACCACCATCAATATCTATACTACATTATAATGGTTACCACCATCAATATCCTACGCTCATCATTCCCGATTCAAGCACGCTCACATGCTCGATTGCAGGTTTCCAAGACGCCGATTGAGGCTCCAAGACGACGATTGAGGCCTCCAAGACGACGATTGAGGCCTCCAAGACGACGATTGAAGCCTCCAACACGCTCGATTGCAAGGTTTTAGTTCTGGCTCCTTTCGATTCATACCTCCAGTTCCAGACTCTCTCGATCCATGTACAATGGTTTGTGGTTTAATGTTGATGAGAGTTGATTTAGGGTTTATTTCCTTTTATTTGGTTTCCTTTTGATGATTTCTCACAGGTGATATTGATTGGGTATATTGGGTTTGGTTTGGTTTGGAGCATGTATCAACTTGCAACATTTCAAGATCTTAACCGAGGTAAAGGTTTTATCGATTTCAAACAATCAATTTTGATGTTCTTCTTTATTCTGATCATCTCTGCAGGTATGATTACTCCATCGCTTTTCGGGTTTGATTTCCTTCATCTCTGCTTGGGTTTCGGTGATCATTTTCTTCTTGATTTTTCTCTTTCTCTGCCCTGAGTTTTTGATAATCGATTGTTTTTATTATAATGCTTAATGTACCTATTCAACTCTTCTTAAGTCGTTAAACATAAATACCCATTCAACTCATTCCATGTATAATGATAAGTTAAACATTATTTTGAATTTCATGGACCTTGTTTTTCATTGAGCTACCTATTGCTATATGTTAGCACCAGACACCTTACTATGTTGTTTATTGCTTCTGAGGCCTGTAACTGTGAACAGGTCCAGGAAAAGCCCAGCAGTAAAATGGAAATTCAACCTCGAGAAACAAAACTAGAAGCACGAGTTGCAAAGTTCATCTCTCTTATTTGCAATGTCAGTATGATGAAGCAACAAATGATGGAAATAGGTTTATTTCCCATTCCTTTACTCTCATTAAAACTTTTACAAGCAGGTTTCTTATTCATTTCCATGATGATATTTGTTCTTTGTTCAATGAATTGGTAATTTTGCATCTCTATGACTGGACATTGGTAATTTGTTCAATGACATTGCTTTATACTAAATTATAAAGTATTTGATAAAAATTCTTAAAAATCATTTTTTATATACAAAGTTTGTTTATTGATACACATTATTTAAAATTCAAGATTACAATTAGATTGTCCTTAAATACAATTTATTAAAACGACATGTTTGAATTCGTGTAACTAACTGTAGATAAACATAATCAAATACAGAATAAACATCTCATTCTAAATATAAAAAATCTAA